GTGATGTGAGAGCCTAGTCCGGTGAGAACCCGGCGTGCTCCGTCCCGGCTTTGTAGGGATGCGAGGTTAATGGTCTAACGACTACGGCATGGACGACTATGAGTACACCCCCCCTCTCCCCCCAACGCTGCACCATTGCACGAACCCCCCTCTGGATGACGTACCATTTCAATTTATCGCTGGTTGGTGGCCATGTTGGCGTGGTTGCTTGTTCGTTAGTGGTCTCTCCACCGTGTGACTTGTTCTGTACGTCGTTTAACAGACTTGCGGGAAAAATGGGAACGTATCCAAAAATGAGAATTGGCGTTTTTCTTCAGAACCATCGGGTGTATCACAGAACCAAAATTATCCTGCGAAACCCCTTCGCCCCAGCTGTGAGATGAGCTCATCAGAACCGCCATGCTCCACATCACGCCTTCTCACGGGCGCAAAAAGCGATTCGCGCTGGTTTCGACCTGATTTCTCGCGATGCTGGCTACCTCGGCGATGCCGAGGACATACAGCTTGAGCAACAGCTCATTCGAAAGCTGCTGTAAAGACCTACAGCACTGTCAACTTTTTTGGGGGGAGTTGCAAAGGCGTGGTTTGCTTTCTAAAAACAAACGCCCATTCTCATTTTTGGATACGTTCCCATTTTTCCCGTATGTCTGTTGTTTCTTGATATTTTCGGCCCGGCCCCTTTTGTCCTCGCTCTTTTTGGTTTTCTTTTCTGTTTTCTTCTTGTTTCCTTTTTCTTACTTTGTTCCTCTTTGTTCTTTTTTTCCTTCATATTTCTCTCTTTTGCCTTGTCAGATGGCGTTGTCTCTGCTTGCGTTCTGAAGTACCAAGATTGGACCAAGGGGGTGTACCTCGTTCTCTCCGGCCCGTGATGCTGACTCCTAGTCTTAATTGTTTCCTCGCATAGCGCACAGAGGGAGCGGAGGACTCCAGAATATCTGTCGTTGATTTTGTGTGGACTTGCGGACCCCTCGGGACCAGTTTCTTTGGGTGTGCCTTTTGAGGGTAAGTTAGCCTGTGACCACGGGAATCGACCGCGTCAAGTGTTGGATCAGTACGGACATACAAAGGTACTGAGAAGAGAGAGATCGAAACGGTTTTTAATGTGAAGACAACAACAACTTCGGAAGCTTCTCATGCATATCCCAATGAATTCTCTGGAACAGCGTCTAGCCCACCTGCTGCCCAGGTGGTCGAGGCTAGCAAGGAAAACATGTCCTCTCTTGCTTACTTGCCCTTAAGTGCTGCGCAGACACCATTGGAGTACTCTTCATGGAACTACACTACTTGAAGACGAACTGGTTCTCGAAAAAACTTCGCGACCGCACCTTCCTGTCAATCTCACCACTTTGAATGTGTTGTACAGAGCGCTAAACGAAAAGCTCCCGAGCGTTGTTTACACTAATTCACCCACGTCTGTAGGTGCACGCTTGGACACACTCGTTATCGTGAAGTTCTGATCGGTAAGGTAGCTTCTAAGTGTGCGTGGGTGTTTTCAGGGTTGCTCACGGAGTAGAACCGCTGGTGGAACGTGGACACACTCGTGAAGTTCTGATCGGTAAGGTAGCTTCAAAGTGTACGTGGGTGTTTTCAGGGTTGCTCACGGAGAATACCCGCTGGTGGAACGTGTTCTCTTTCTTCTAATTTCACGGAGCTGAGCGGATTTTGCCTTTGGTAATAGTGACGGGACGGAGCGGCGTGGTTTATCCGAGGGGAACAGTCGCCGAGAGGGCCGTGTTTTACGTGTTGATCCATAGCATGGTTTGTATTCGGACCGGTTAAGTTTCCCCTGATGCACCGTGAGAAAAAAAGCTGCGGAAACCATTCGGATATCCGTACAAATTGACAGAGTACCTACGATCTCGTGCAAGATGTTGGGCATGATACATCGAAAATGATTTTCTGCACGGCGGGGGCTGTGTGCGGAGGTTGCCCCTGACACTGCACCCGTCCTAACAGCCAACCAACGAAAAGGTAAAATCAGTTAGTTGTAGTCTAGTGAGGGGATCTAAATCGTTTCTACGACAGGTACCAAACATGTCTCTTGTAAGAAGTCACGCCCGGGTTAGGTGTCACTCGGCGTCTCATTCAATATACGTTCCAGCACTTATTACAAATGGAGCAACACGCCCAGCTAGATACAGACGTCCCTGTAGTCAGATTCGAACTCGACTGTAACCACTTGCTCGCCCACACGAGCAGCTCGGACAGCTCCAAATAGTTCCACTAACTCATGGCATATATATGGTCCACCTGCAGTTTCATCTCCGGAGAAAGGCATAAACACATGAGGAACAGAACCATCTCGAAACGATCGGCGTCGTTGCCTGCCAAAGGCGGTTGTACAAGAACCCCAGCCATACAACCCCCCACTCTCTTGATTGCAACACTGGCAACAAATGATGTCAATTGTCCATGCAAAGGTGTGGTGTGTGTCGGGTGCAGTACGCAGCAGGTGCGCGCGTTTTTTGCTGTTTGTTTGTTTTGTGCTTTCATATTTCTGTGTGGATGTGTACGCGGAAGCCCGTGCAAACATCATGTCGAATGTACGACTCGTGCCGTGCGAAACTCGTGACTCCATTGAAAAACCGAGGCTATATTGCCGTTTTTAACCGCGGATTTGCGATTTTTTCCGTGAATTATGAGACGGAGTAGCTCAAACCGTTCCGTTTAAGAAACCGCGGTTGTGGATTTTTGTTGGGAATCCTCACGGAGCGGAGCGGTTTTTTTGCTCATATCAGGTAGCGAGCGCGGAGCGGAGTGGGTTTATTCATCGGATAACCGCTCCGCTCCGTGAACAACCCTGGGTTTTTCCTGATCTTTTCGATTATTTTCCCCTCACAGGGGGGGAGCGTCTATGTGTCTCGCGCATACATACTTGCCTGTCATGGGGAGGTTTTGGAAGCTGCCCACGGGTACAAATGTGGGTGTTGATACTTGGGAAATATGACAGTTCGCAACGATTTAGTTGCAAGCAGTTATCTTTGGACACTTGCTCTGTCGTGTTAATGAGCTGTATGCTCGCTGGCCTATATCGGGTCCGGTTGTTGTGATTTCTGCCCCCACTTGTTTTGCCCACACGTGCTCTGCTACTTCGGCATTAGAGTGTATGCGTTGGCTAAAATAGCGTTTATATCACTTTATTTTAGGTTAACCCGATGCATTATTTACTCATATTCCGATTTCACAAGTTTCCTGTAGGAGTATTTGACTTACACAAGTAGGACAGAACAAACAGTATATTGTAGGTGCACCGGGCTATTTTTTGGAGAAACGTAAAACAAGGGGCCCTCCAAGTGGAAAAACCATGGAAGACCCCTAATTTCAATCTTGGTCGCGGGGGGGGGGGGGG